AGCTGGGACTACAGGCATGCGCCACCATGCCCAGCTAATTTTTTGTATTTTTAGTAGAGACGAGGTTTCACCATGTTGGATGGTCTCGATTTCTTGACCTTGTGATCCACCCGCCTCAGACTTCCAAAGTGCTGGGATTACAGGTGTGAACCACCGCGCCCGGCGTCTCTATTTTTTTTTTTTTAATTAAAGTTAAAATTAAAACTCTAGCACAAAGATTCTATTCACTATTGAGAGTTCCTACCTTTATTAACAGCTACTTAAAAAAAAAAACCCACTAAATAAAATTAAATGTTGCTCCCAGTTAAAAGCAGATTGCAATACCAAATGAAAGACCTCACACTGACCTTTGGGTCAAAGAAAAGTTTCAGATTTTTGGCCCTCCATGAGAGGTATGCTATAAAATGAAAATTTATAATGAAATATTTCTATTTTATTTTATTTTTACTCCGTTGGTAACGCACAGAGGATATTTCTTTTTTTTAATTTATATTTTTCAATTTTAATTTATTTTATACACTTTAGTATCACATTGTCTGTACCAGGTTAAATGCTTATAGAAGCTTAGTAGTACGGTTCAGTTGTATCTCTGAACAGTTGATTTTTCTTATGCCCAGCTCACTTTGTTTACTCAAATGCCTTACAGGCCTTTGAGTTTGCAACCTGACTAAGTAAAATAATTCATGAAAAGTAATAAAAGCAGAACCTGGCACATAGTAAGTTTTCTGTAAATGTAACTATTTTATTAGGCTGCAGGTATTAATATCTAAGTGTGGTGCTTAGCGTTTTCAATATAATCTATAAGAAGGCATGCTACTGTGACAGATGCATCTGATGTAGGATTAACAGCGTAAAGGTCTGGGCCAGCAAAGTGCAGACGGAAAGGTTTTTTCTCATAGATTAAGGGAAAGTTTATGTTTAGAATGTAAATGAAATGAGCTCTTTCCTTTGAGTGTAAAATATGATCTTACTGACTGGGAATAGATTTGTTTCTTCTTGAAGCTTCAAGTTGCAGTTTCACTGTTGAATGAAACTCAGCTGTAATGTTGTTTGCCCCACTTTACCTCACCTCCATAAAAGTGAAGCATCTTTGGAAATGAAAACAGCTTCTACCAAAAACCCTCTTGTGGTATTGACTGTATTTGGTTTAGTAAGCTTGGTAAGGTATTGCTGTTGTTAATACCAGTGTTGTACATTTGGTAATTTAAAAACTGACTTGAAAGAAGAATGAACTAGTTCATTCACAGCTCCTGGTTCAGGGTAAAGGGGAAAAAAAAGAATGAACTAGTTCAGAGTCCTAGAAGTCCTAGAAGTCATTGAATATAAATGAAAGCTAAATGTATAGCTAAAATAAAGCTATAAATTAAGCTATAATATTTTAGCTGTTGACATTGTATAAAAATTAACATTTTAGGCTAGGTGCGGTGGCTCACGCCTATACTCCCAGCACTTTGGGAGGCCGAGGCGGGTGGATCACAAGGTCAAGAGATCGAGACCATCCTGGTCAACATGGTGAAACCCCGTCTCTACTAAAAATACAAAAATTAGCTGGGCATGGTGGCATGCGCCTGTAGTCCCAGCTACTCGGGAAGCTGAGGCAGGAGAATTGCCTGAACCCAGGAGGCGGAGGTTGCAGTGAGCCGAGATCACGCCATTGCACTCCAGCCTGGGTAACAAGAGCGAAACTCTGTCTCAAAAAAAAAAAGAAAAAAAAAATTAACATGTTAGAAATATTGGTGTGAATCTTTTATAAAATAAATTACCTACCTTAATGAGTGACTTTCTAAAAATAAAGCTATACATTGGACCCAAAGGCATATTTTATATTGGTGAAAATTAAATTTGGGAATGTAGTGAGTGTTATATTACTAAATTATGGTTCTAATGCAGTGGAAGTACTACGCCTATTAAGAGGGAAAAAATCACCGGGCGCAGTGGCTCAAGCCTGTAATCCCAGCACTTTGGGAGGCCGAGGCAGGTGGATCACGAGGTCGAGAGATCGAGACCATCCTGGTCAACATGGTGAAACCCCGTCTCTACTAAAAACACAAAAAAGTAGCTGGGCATAGTGGCGCTTGCCTGTAATCCCAGCTACTCAGGAGGCTGAGGCAGGAGAATTGCTTGAACCCAGGAGGCGGAGGTTGCTGTGAGCCGAGATCGCGCCATTGCACTCCAGCCTGGGTAACAAGAGCGAAACTCCGTCTCAAAAAAAAAAAAAAAAAAAAGAAAAAGAGGGAAAAAATCAGCCTACGTTATACTAAAAACAGTGATAGTTTATTTCACGTTTAGTATATACATTGTCCTAAGTATCTCATATAAATAATCTAATTTTAATCTTTTGGTCAATCATAGAAGGTATCGAGTATTACCAACATTTACAGAGGAGAGAACTGAGCTACACAATTTGCCCAAGGTCACACAATGAAGGGGCAGAAGCAGAATTTGAACACTGGTCTGTCTAACTTGAACACTCATGTTATTTACCACTGTCCTGACCGAAAAGTACATTAACTGTCTCTGAAAATTACTTGTGTGTGTTGCGGAGGCAGAATTTGGGGTGGTTGTGGTTGCGGATAAAGTTGGGCTTAAGGCTAGTATGTCAAGGAATTGATTTTTTCCATCAAACAGATCATATTTTCAGGCCATTAAGCAGAATTTCAAAGGATGAAAATTAGTTGCTTTTCTGTCTTTATTCTAGAAAGCAAACAAAAGTACCCTATGAACAAAGCAAACAAATAGTCCCCTACAGATTTCTGAGCAAATTCTACTCTGTAGGAGTAGTTTAAAATATATCTTTAAAAGTGGATTGGCCAGATCTTGTAATCTCAGCACTTTGGGAGGCCGAGGCAAGTGGATCACTTGAGTCCAGGAGTTTGAGACAAGTCTGGGCAAAATAGCAAGACCCTGTTTCTAAGAAAAAAATAAAAATAAAAAATAAAAAACTATCCAGGTAGCTGGGCATGCTGGCACACAGGCACACACCTATAGTCCCAGCTATTCTGGAGAATGAGATGAGAGGACTTGCTTGAGTTGGGGAGGCAGAGGCTGCGATGAGATGTTACCATGTCACTGCACTCCAGCCTGGCAACAGGGAGACCCTGTCTTTTTTTTTTTTCCCTTCCCCTTGAGATGGAATCTCACTCTGTCACCTAGACTGGAGTGCAGTGGCAAGATTTTAGCTCACAGCAATCTCCGCCTTGCGGTTCAAGTGATTCTTCTGCTTCAGCCTCCCAAGCAGCTGGGGCTACAGGTGCCTGCCACCACACCCAGCTGTTTTGTATTTTTTGTAGAGATGTGGTTTCACTATGTTGCCTGGCTGGTCTTGAACTCCTGACGTTGTGATCTGCCTGCCTCAGCCTTCTAAAGTGCTGTGATTACAGGCATGAGCCACCACACCTGGCCGAGAGACTTTGTCTTAAAATTAAAAAGAAAAAAAAAATGAAGAAGTTGGCTGGGTGCAGTGGTTTACACCTGTAAATCTGTAATCCTGGCACTTTGGGAGGCTGAAGTAGGAGGTGCTTGAGCCCAAGGAGTTCAAGACCAGCCTGGGCAACAAAGCTAGACCCTGTCTCTAAAAAAATTATAAAAATCAGCTGGGCATAGGGGCACACATCTATAGTTCCAGCTACTCAGAAATTTGAGGCGGGAAGATTGCTTGAGTCCAGGAGCACAGGAGCTCAAGGCTGCAGTGAACTGTGATTCAGCCTGCACTCCAGGCTGGGCAACAGAGCAAGGCCCCATCTCTTTAAAAAAAAAAAAAAAAAAAGTGGAGAAATGCTTAGAAAGCTATTAACTTGACTTGTATTTTCTTTTGCTTTCAGATCTAAAGCATGTATTCCTTATTTGAAAAAGAGCAAAGTTGCTCATATCCTCAATCTCAGTCCACCACTGAACCTAAATCCAGTTTGGTTCAAACAGCACTGTGGTAGGTGTTAGGGTGAGGGGATGGTTTGTGCTTAATTTGTTTTGAATTAAATTTGTGTACGCCTGATGTAATCACATCTGCACATAACATTCAGCATTGAATTTTCTATGCCAAATTATAAAGTGGCATTTGGAAGGTAGATTCTTAATCTTTTATATGTAATTTTTATAATTGAGGCATAATTTACATTCAATAAAATGCACAGATCTTAATGGTTTAATATGATGAGTTTTGGCAAATGTATATAACCAACACCCAAATCAAGATACGAATTTTTACCATTTCAGAAAGCTCTTTCACTTCCCAATGAGTGTTTTGTTGTGTGTCTTTTTTTTGAGACAGAGTCTCACTCTGTCGCCAGGCATCAGGCTGGAGTGCAGTGGTGGGATATCGGCTCACTGCAACCTCTGCCTCCTGGGTTCAAGCAATTCTTCTGCCTCAGCCTCCCAAGTAGCGTGTGCACCACCATGCCCAGCTAATTTTTGTATTTTAGTAAAGATGGGGTTTCACCGTGTTGGCCAGGATGGTCTCAATCTCTTGACCTCATGATCCTCCCGCCTTGGCCTCCCAAAGTGCTGGGATTACAGGCGTGAGCCACCGCGCCTGGCCTTGTTGTGTGTAATTTATTCTTCAATAAAATTGGTTAAAAACTATCTATGAGATACTTTATTTTTCTTAGCCAAGTGTGCACCTGTAGTCCCAGCTACTTGGGAGGCTGAGGTGGGAGGATTGCTTGAGCCCAGGAGTTTGAGGCTGCAACGAGCTGTGATCATGGCACTGCACTCCAGCCTCGTGACAGAGCGAGACCCTGACTTAAAAAAACAGACTAACAAAAAGCATGACAAAAAAAAACCCCTATTACCTTTCATAGCAAACTAATGGTTTAAGGCAAATATGCTAAGCAACAAGATTTATGTATAGGTGCCCCCTTTAAAATAGTTGTATCAAACACTTAGTTTTTATTTCAGCATAATTCACTAACATTTAGAAAGGCACTTGGAATGGGGACCCACAAAGCAAAACTGAAAGAAGTTCTACTTCCATTGACTAGGTTAAATACATTTGCAGCCTTTTTTTTTAAATGGAACACTTCACAGATTTGCGTGTCATCCTCACGCAGGGGCCATGCTAATCTTCTCTGTATCGTTCCAGTTTTAGTACATGTGCTGCCGAAGCAAGCACTGCAGCCTTTTTTTTATTGTTGTTTTACTAGTGGTAGTTTTCCTTAAAATAATCATTTCATTCTAAAAAAAAAAAGAAAGAAAGAAAGAGTCCAGGTGCATTGGCTCGTGTCTGTAATCCCAGCACTTTGGGAAGCTGAGGCAGGCAGATCACTTGAGGTCAGGAGTTTGGGACCAGCCTGGCCAACATAGTGAAACCCAGTCTCTACAAAAATACAAAAATTAGCTGGGCATGGTGGCACACACCTGTAATCTCAGCTACTTGGGAGGCTGAGGCACAAGAATCATTTGAACCTGGGAGGCAGAGTTTGCAGTGAGCCAAGATCTCACCACTGCACTCCAGCCTGGGTGACAGAGTGAAGCTGTGTCTCAAAAAAAAAAAAAGAAAGAAAGAAAGCAAAGGAAAAACATATTAAAAGATAACAATGTAATTTACCCTCATAGTTAAGAAAAATGGAAGTATATTACTGTCACTTTTATTTTAATCAAATATTAGGAGGGAATATATATAAAATTATTTCATCTCTGTTCACATCTATAAAAACTTTTCATTAGAAAATAGTACATTTATACAATTATACATTATGTTATATTATTGAAAAGGATTCTTAAAAATATATCAGGGACTCTGGGTGCAGTGGCTCATACCTGTAATCTCAGCACTTTGGGAGGCCAAGGCAGGTGGATTGCTTGAGCCCAGGAGTTCAAGACCAGGCTGGGCAAAATGGCAAAACATTGTCTCTACAAAAAATTTAAAAATTAGCCAGTCTTGGTGGCATATGCCTGTAGTCACTGCTACTCAGGAGGCTGAGGTGGGAGGATCACTTAAGCTTAGGAGATAGAGGCTGTGGTGAGCCATGATCACACCACTGCACTCCAGCCTGAGTGGCAGAGTGAGACCCTGTCTCAAAAAAAAAAAAGAATATGTGTATACATACATATATACTTATGTATATATATATGTGTGTGTATTACTATTTTCTTCCTGATATATATGTGTGTGAGGATGTGTTGTATGTATATACATATATATACACATGTACATGTATACACACACATACACATATATCAGGAAGAAAATAGTAATAGAAATTGGTTAAATTAATTTCTTTTATAATTAAATTATTATTTTTTGTGATTCTTTCAGCTTATACCATTGCTAAGTATGGTATGTCTATGTGTGTGCTTGGAATGGCAGAAGAATTTAAAGGTGAAATTGCAGTCAATGCACTATGGCCTAAAACAGGTATGGACTTTAAAAAACTTCATTTGTTAAGATTTTCATGTATTGTCCTTGACATTCTTTTATTTATTTTTTTGAGGCGGAGTCACCCAGGCTGGAGTGCGATGGCGTAATCTCAGCTCACTGCAACCTCTGCCTCCCAGGTTCAAGCAGTTCTTGTGCCTTAGCCTCCCAATCAGCTGGGACTCGGGGCACACACAACCATGCCCAGTTAATTTTTTGTATTTTTAGCAAAGATGTGGTTTCACCATGTTGGCCAGGCTGGTTTCGAACTCCTGGCCTCAAGTGATCCGCCCGCCTTAGCCTCCCAAAGTGCTGGGATTAGAGACATGAGCCACCACTCCCAGTCTGTCCTTGACACTCTTGAGGTGCACCTTGGGTGTGATGGGATAGGAGTATGTAGACTGTCAACACTAACTTTAATCTGTTTGTTGGGAAACAAGTTCAACTTGTTATGGTACAACGTAAGATCCTTTTCAGTCATCCTCCAGCCTTGGCTTAGACTACATGAGTGACTCTTCAGCCAAAGCCTTTATGGGAACACTGACCACTGGAACACTATAAACGTCTTTTGAAGGGCAACAGGAGATACTGCACTTCCCCAACTCTTTCTCCGTCTTTGTTTCTGGAACCTTCCTAAATTCTCATCCTTTTATTTTCTCCTCACACATTCTAACAAATGCTTTTTAACATTTTTGTATTCTTACTGCCCTTGCCTTTTTCCTTTAGAACAAGCTGGATTGTCTTTACTTTCACATGAATTCTTCTGAATTCACAGAATACCTGGAGCCCTGTGAGAGGACAGAAGAACCTGTGTATGCCTGGGCTTTGTGTGCAAATGCTGTAACAGAAGTCGATGGCTTCCTTGCTGGGCAATAAGATATATAAAAATGAGGCAAAGCCAGCAAAAATGAGAGAAAAGGAAAGCCTGTCTCTTATAGGTTCTTACTCTCCACTTATATCAAAGTAGCTTAAAGGAAGAAAAAGAGACGATATAACATTTCACTCTACATTTTTCCATGTACTAGTGGGTAATGCCCATGAAAACTTTAGTTTCTTTTCATCTTAAGTGTAAATGGTGCCAGGTGTGGTTACAGATGGCTTACGCCATCCCAGCATTTTGGAAGACCGGTGTGGGCAGATCACTTGAGGCCAGGAGTTTAAGACCAGCCCAGGCAACATGGCAAAACCCTGTGTCTACTAAAAATATGAAAAATTAGCCAGTTACTTGGGAGGCCAAGACATGAAAATCACTTGAACCCAGGAGGCAGAGGTTGCAGTGAGCTGAGATCGCACCACTGCACTCCATCCTGGGCAACAGAGCAAGATCCTGTTACAACAACAAACTATGTAAATGACAGTCACATCCCAGAAGAGTATGTCTAATGATAAAGAGAATACATAGAGGGACTGGGTGTGGTGCCTCACTCCTGTAATCCTAGCACTTTGGGTGGCTGAGATTGGGCAGAATGATTACCAGTCTGAGACCAGCCTGGGCAACATAGTGAGGCCTCTTTAAAAAAAAAATTAGCTAGATGTAGTGGCGCACACCTATAGTCCCAGCTGAGGTAGGAGAATCACTTAAGCCCAGGGGTTTAAGGATACCGTGAGCCATGGTCATGCTGTTGAACTTCAGCCTCGGCAACAGAATAAGACCCTGTCTCAACCCATTTCCCATTTGACCCGAGAATACTCTTGTCTCTAATTCTAATGTAACATCATATACATTTCTGTTACATTAGGGTTAAAGACAAGGTCTGTTTAAAAATAACAGTTTTTTATATTTTTATGTTGAAAATCAGATTTGCTTCAGCCTCAAAGTCTGTGTTTATGTAAAATTAAATGAGCGCTGGCAGTAAGCTGTACTTTTTTTTTTTCCTAAATGGGAAGTGGGTTTAAAAACAACAACAAAAAAGAGAATGCATAGTGGGAATCACTTTTTTATTTCATTCTTTGAAAGATTACAGTCCAGATGCAGTAGCTCATGCCTGTAATCTCAACACTTTGGGAAGCAGAGGCAGGAGGATCTCTTGAGCCTAGGAGTTCAAGACCAGCCTGGGCAACAAAGAATTAGGTTAGCTGGGCACAGTGGAGCATGCCTGTGGTCCCAGCTTCTTGTGAGGCTAAGATTGTTGGATGGCTTGAACCCTGCAGATCAAGGCTGTGGTGAGCCGTGAACATGCCACTGTACTCCACCCTTCTGAGACAGGACAGAGTGAGAGCCTGTCTCAGAAAAACAACAAACAAACAAAAATTCAACAGAATCTTGATTATACTCACATCAGAATTTAAGCAGAAAAATCAATGTGGCTCTTGTACAAAGAATCACCTTAGGGATCAACACTGGTGTTTCTGTTCCTAGGGTAGTGCTCTGCCCGTAGCAGTCACTCAGATATTTGTAAATGCATGAAATTTTGGATTCCTTTGGAAAGTTTTCATATTCTTCATTACATTAATTTTTTTTTTTTTTTTTTTTAAGTAGAAAGGGGGTTTTGCCATGTTGGCCAGGCTGGTCTTGAACCCCTTGGTTCAAGTGATATACCCTCCTCCTTGACCTCACAAAGTGCTGGGATTACAGGCATGAGCCACTGCACTGGCCTCATTACATTTTTTGAAAACACTTCTATTGATGGCAAAATTGGAATCTTTTTTACTGAATTTGCCGGCAGAGGCGGTTTCTAGGAAGACAACTACTGGAAGTCATGTCCCTGTTGTCCTTCCCTTTCCCCTGATTGGAGCAGCTGCTAGGGTGAGGGCAGGCAGGACTAGGAAGGAGTAAGTGAGACTTGATTCTGTAAGAGAAGGAACTGAGAAGCTTGTGAAATACTTTGTTCTCTCTGAGCTAGAGGACAGAATGGAGCCAGGTGAGAGAACTCGAGAGAGAACAGATACACAGAAGTTCCTGGAGAGGGCTTAGATCATAGAGATCTGAGGACTCAACAGGGTTGCTCAACAGGCAAGATAAGTATTTCCTATCCCTGAGGTGTGGAAGTGAGGAGACCTGGGAGAATCAATCCAAGTCCCAAAATAGATTCAATGATTGGTACTTCTGATAAGATAACTTACTATGCTGGCATGGCTGGCATCCTTTCAACTGTCCTGGGAGACAGAGTGAGACTCTGTCTTAAAAAAAAAAAAAAAAAAAAAAAACTATCTAAGGGTAAAAAATTGCAGTGCAGCTAAGAGGACCCAGTATCCAGACACAGAAAAAAATAAATAGAGGCCGGGCGCGGTGGCTCAAGCCTGTAATCCCAGCACTTTGGGAGGCCGAGGCGGGTGGATCACGAGGTCGAGAGATCGAGACCATCCTGGTCAACATGGTGAAACCCCATCTCTACTAAAAATACAAAAAAATTAGCTGGGCATGGTGGCGCGTGCCTGTAACCCCAGCTACTCAGGAGGCTGAGGCAGGAGAATTGCCTGAACCCAGGAGGCGGAGGTTGCGGTGAGCCGAGATCGCGCCATTGCACTCCAGCCTGGGTAACAAGAGCCAAACTCCGTCTCAAAAAATAAAATTAAAAAAAAAAATAAATAAATAAATAAATAGAACACCCAGCATAGCAGTTTTAGTGAAATAAAACTGCTAAAGAAACAGAAAATAACTCAATTTAAAAACAAAAGTCATGACCTAAGAGATTGAATTATCATATGAAAAATGCTTTCTGGAACTAAAAATAGATTGTGTTTTTAAAAAATTATATATATATATATATATATATATATACCAAATATATATATATATATATTTAGTATATAGT